TGAAAATTATATCCAGTATATGAAAAGTATATCATGATGATGCATTTTTTACAAATATTAGGAAAACCTTTATTGCTAAATAAAAAATCTGTCTAGAGCTGGCTACTGAACCTGAAAAAGGAACCAAACAAGATAGAGATGGAAGTGGACACATCTCTTGATCGGCTAATGATCACATAACAGAATAAACTGTCTCGACTGTACATGGAGAATATAATCCCCACATTACTGCCTCACTGGCAAAACAAATAGAACCAGAATTTCCAATCGTAAAATGTTACTCTATTGTAAAATAGTCATAAAAGTAAAAGTAGTATTATAAAGTTAACTAAAGGAAAGGTGTAATGATGAAAGCTGAGATTATATTCAAACATCAAGCTTTCGATAAACAAAGTGAGGAATCCAGTAATGTAAGGATTATATTCTCCATGAAAAGTCGAGATGGCTTAGTCTGCTATGTGATCAATAGCCGGATCAAGTGATGTGTCCACTTCTATACATATATTGTTTGGTTCCTTTTTTCAAGTTCAGTAGCCAGCTCTACACAACTTTTTTATTTAGCGATAATTTTCCCCTAATAACTGTTTATTTACTTTTATATAAGATGACGTACGTGGGTTAATAGATTAGAGAGTGTATTCTAAAGGTTTATAAATCTTGCATAAAATAATAATAATAAAATAGGTAGTCAAAGATAGTGAAGACTGTTTTGCTCTATGAAGTAATGATAACATTATAGTTACTGCTAGAAGTAAATGGGCACTAGGCCTGTTGAAGAAAGATTATGATAACCGAAAATACGAAATCTCGGTTTTGGCTTTTCGCTGCTTTTCGACTTTGGGATACTCTGGGTAGTTGAAAAGCGGTGTATACACCAGAGATAAAGCGAATATGCCAAATAGCTCTTCAAATCTAGCTTCTGATGATCTGTAGAGAAGAAAATCCAGATGACTTTTGTATTGCTTTAACACGGGCGTCCGTGTCATCTCTACATAGAGAGTGTTAGTGCACTCTCCGATGCTGTGTCTCCTAGTAACAGATCATCTATACAGGTACACGTTTAGCTTAACAAGTAAACGCTTCCTTCCCATATTATTAATTAATCTAACATACAAGTTAGTACTAGAATGATGACTGTGATCATGTCGTCTAGATTCAGAGGACAGACAAAAAATGAACGATTTAACCGGACTTATCCTGACCTAGCTTTAATAGAATCAAAATACAAAATAACTGTACCTTATTTTGTTTAAAATATTGAAATATTAGCTATAATAACTTTAAGGATTACATTTTCATGAACTATACCCAACACTCTTTAGTTTCTGTCTTATTTCTCTTTATTTATAGATTTTTCTGTTCCACTGGACTGAAAGTAAATAATAGTGCATAATAATATGACAACCCTATTATATCATGTTATATCCAACGATGAGGAAACTTTGTGTCCAATCAACAACCCTATTATATCATGTTATATCCAACGATGACGAAACCTTTTGTCCAATCAACAACCCTATTATATCATGTTATATCCAACGATGAGGAAACCTTGTGTCCAATCAACAACCCTATTATATCATGTTATATCCAACGATGACGAAACCTTTTGTCCAATCATGGTTCCTTAGAGTGATTATAGTTTCGCGAAACGAGGACTTGATCAGTCTTTAATCAAAGTTAGGACTTATACTCTGTTTGATATGGTTTAACTTTTTTTATTAATTCCAATGAAAATGTTGTTATATTATCGTAGGACTTGATTGAATTCATAACATTCGGTGAAAACGACAGAACGTTCATATACTGAGAATTCAGGAAAGCTTTCATAAAATCCGAGACTGCTACTTTCCTTCTTCATTATTTTGATAGCTTCATCAAAAACCATTTTTCTTTAATTTCATTTTTACACATATAAAGATGGATAATTTGTAGAAAAGTAGTGCTTTTGATAATGCACGTACTTATACTTCTCACTTTTCCCAACAGATGGCGCAACAGCAAAACATCATTTTAGCTTCACGGTTATGTAGTCGATTCACGTTCTGTAAGTGCGTTGAACCCAAGATTAATCTACCATAAAAACAGAAAATGAGCAATGCACGGTTACTTCCACCATTGTTAATATTAAAGTTTCTACATGTCTGTTTAACTACATTATCACATGTTTATAATTACTAAGCCTAAGGAAACATAAATCGGAAACATAAAACCAGAGTATTACCCCTAGATGGAGTAAAATAACCTCTATTTTTTCAATACTATAATGAAAACAACGAGCTTTAAGAGAATATGTGTATCAATATTCGGACCTCTAATGTTGGAATTGTATTGCTATTTTATTTTGCCCAAAATAATTGAATGCCATTCAAATATATATTATTGTTACGTCTCTGGTCGTTTGTTAATTTCCGTAAAAATTCTTTCCGAGAAACTTCAGCGATACAAGTCCTTTCTTAAATAAAACTAATTTATTCTTTCTCAATGCAACTTTGCAATACACAGAATTTCCACGGTCACTTTAACTTAAACACACGCTATAATTCACAATGATTCACGCACTTTACCGCTCACTCGACTCAATTATCTGTCTATCTGCAATTATATCTCCGCTTTATTTGCCGGGCTTATATACAAAAATAGAGGGCGTCTGGTAAACACTAGAGTTGCCAGGAACAGTCATGATCCTTCTAGGAACTCATGACGTGTTACCAGCGTCACGTGACTTTCACTGTCGTAACAATATTACCGTTTTTGCTTGACCATTATTATTATTTTACAATTCCATTGTAAATTACACCTCAAAGTTATTGTTGGTGGCTACAGTTTAAAAATAAAGGGTTGCGAGATGATCTGGTAATGTATTTGGAAAAATACATGATACTGTTTGAAAGAAAATCCATTGGCTCAGCAGTACCTCTGTGGGCTTCTAACACTAATAATCGGGTTTCGATCCCAGTGTTAGGAACAGCACAGATAGCCCATTGTGTAATTTTGTATTTAAGGATAAGTAAAGAATTGAAAGAAATTTTCTGCTGTTTAATAAAATAGTTTCTTCTTTTTTATGAAAATGTTAATCTTTTATCTTTAGGCCTAATTTCCTTTAACTTTTAAGTAAGTCTAAACGATGTGTTAGAGTTTATTCTTCAATGTATTAGGATTATGTACGATCAAATAGCTTTTTATTTACTAATTTTTCATTTTTATTACTCGGCGACTCAATTAGGCTTAACCGTGAAGACTTATTAGTTAATGCCACAAGATGGCATTCTTTAGACAGATATTGTTAAAACTATAATGGATGTAGACCAGATGTGACCTGGTAATTAGTGTATGAGGCTGCGGATTGTAAATTCCCAAATTCAAGATGTGAAATGTTGCTCAACATGTTCCGCATTTTCATTTTTGGGGGCATTATAACAGTAACAGTCAATCCTGCTATTAGGTTAACAATAGCCGCAAAGACGTCGGATGATGTCGTGTGTTTACCCTCTCCTTGGTCAGAAGCTCAAAATTAGGAATGACTATATTCGAACTTTAGAGTTCTCTAACCTAGTTGTTAGCTCATATGTCGCATAAGGTACATTTCAGGTTGAAAATACTCAATACTGGACATCACATTATTGAAATTTGAACGGTAAATCCATTTCTTTTTCTTTCATAATATCGCTAATTGACATAAACATTTTACCTTTCATTATAACTTTCACATAGGTATTCAACCTTCAAGAAAACTGGAGTGTTAACCGTCCTGTAAATCAGTTTTACGTATCCCTCCTCCCCTATGGGGATGTTTTTAGTTAGTCAGACTTGAGGATCTTTTCTCTATATTTTTCTTTTTCACTTGGCCAAGCGAGGCCCAATGATTAGTAGTGTTATTCGAAATGGAGATCCATTGTTCTCAGATTCGCGCTCCGTCTATTAGGACCGTGAGTGCGTTATAATAGTAACGGTCAAATTCCGATAATCGATTAGAATAGCTCACGTGCTGGTGGTGAGTGATGCTCACTACCATATTTTCTGTAGATTATTACTTCATAATTAGAGGCAACTAGCATAGATAGCCCTCAAGTAGCTTTGCGTAAAAGTTAACAAACAACAACGACGTTTTTATTCCTTGTTATAGAATAAATGTGTTTTTTACACTCATGGATATGGCCTGAAAAGGGCCACTTGCATGTACGACATCGTAGCGTAAATGTGGTAAAAATAGGTTTTCTCAGCTACTGGTATGTACGATACCGGAGAAGAGTCAAGAAGGGAGTTAGCTGATTCTCCCAGGTTCTGCTCACTTGTTATAAGATAAACCAACAACTAGTTAAAAAACAAACAAACTTGTTTTCAATATGGTCCCAACAATATACGCTTACAAATTACTTATATTACTTTCAACTATCGCCACATCAAAATTTGTCATTACACTAGCGTAAATACTTACTTAATAACGTATATCAATTTATTAACATACAATATGAGCTCTAACCACCAAATAGATTCATGTTATGTATTTATTACATGCTAGCAGGTGACGCTTTATCTTGCCTGACAACTTTGTGTTACTTTTCCCGTTTCCGTTGCTATGGTGTGCATGTAAAAAAACAAAACAAAACTAATCTATACTTACGCTACGCATGTGTTATATATTTGTAAATCTAGTAGTGTAGGTGAATACAATGACGTTCTTGAATTTGTGCTAGCAACAAGCAAATCCATTTTGTTTTGGAAAGAAATTTGCTATATTTGTAAAATGAAATGATTTGCTATAGGTAAGACTGAGACTATAAATTATAATCTAGAGCTAATACTCGTTAAATGATTAATACTAATATTAGTTGTACGCGGTGGTAATCTCTGTTAAATTAGTTTAGACTTGACCTGTTACTACCTGGTGGTACCATGTCGATAAAAACTATTAACGGAATGAAAACGTAGGCCAAGGCCATCAAGCGCTGAATCTAGGTTGAACAAATGCTGTCACACGTCTGTTTGGTTTTATGTATTTAAACTTTAAAGCTGAACCCCGAAGGAAGCTTGAACTTGTTAGCAGAAATGTGTTATACTCAGAAAATATGAAGCTTTCTTACTTGAAGTCTAAAATTTAATAGCATAAACTAGCCCTAATGGCTGAAACAAACGTCGTGGTCATATTAAAAGCTTGATGCTAATTAATCAGTGGTGTTATTAGGGTAAGTATTATTATTATTTAATTTTATCTATCCAAATTAGGCCGAGTTAAGAATAACTAATAATTATATCTGCATTTATTTTTTTAATTTTCTGCTATAGAGGAAGCTTGAATAATTAGCGATAACTTAATAATAATATTATTTGTTTAATGCCATGTATCTATAAGTCAATGTTTAACGTCATTACAATAGCTGAATTGGATGATTTCAGAAATCAAGAACCATTTATGATGATAATACTATTTCTTTTAGTATTCCTGCTCTTTAAGAACAGTCAAGTTAATTTAAAACAATTCATTATATTATAGTTACTAATTAACCTTTTCTAGATCTTCTCATTGTTGGAAAGTTAAACCAAACTCACCTATTAGGGTTCGGTTTAGTGTACCTCTTCGGTTCACTCTCCCAAGAAGAACCGATTAGTTACGCATTCAGCAAAACTGGTGTTTTATACAGGTACTAGTCACCTGGAACTACTGAAACTGTATTTAACTTCAGCTGACTCAAGACCTCAAGATTAACCTCAACTAACTTAATTACAACAAATAAAAGCAACTCTGGAAACTATTTATTAAAAATTCTTCATGCTGTGAACAGTGATTTCCAAACCACATTTTTGAACCTTATTTTTAGTTAAGTTACTTCAAGTTCTTGTGACTAAGATATAACTAATACATATTTATCTTTGTTTATTAATTTTTACTTAGGACTAACATTTTATTGGAAAAAAGTTGACATTTTTTAGACAATAAAATAAGAGTCAAGTGTTAAATTTGTTTTAAATTTGATTATTTGTTAAGCACAAAGATACACAGTGGGCTTTTGTGCTGTGTCTACCACAAGAATCAAAAGCTGGTCCTTAGCATTATAAGCCTTCAGACTTACTGGAGAGAATGTGTTTTAAGTACAGCTATTAAATTAGAACATAACCTTAAAAACCTAGATATGAACAGGTCTTAAGAGCAGTACGACATGCCTTTGTATATAAAAATAGATAGTTAAAAAGAATGCATATCTTAAATTAAAATGGTGTGATTTTATAATTAAAAAACCTTTCACTATGTCAAAATATAACATTGTATCAGTACACCATAGAAGGGATTGAACATTCATAAATAATCAAGCAATATTTATCCTTTATTTTTTTTAAAATATTAAAGTTGAAATTAGTAGTTTAATTTTGAGTTTACATATTGATTAAATATAATTTTATTACAAGTTTTACAGTAAGGAAGGTTATTTTTTCAAACAGGTATGACATTTCAATCGCTGGTGTTATTGAGAGTGATCGCACCTGTGGTCGAAACATCATACCTCTTATAAAAATAATCTTCCTTACTATAAAAGCTGTAACTTGTAATAAAATACAGTTGAAAGTAGCATGGGCTATTTTTATAAACTGTTGAATTTAACATTTGTTAAGATTAAAATATGCTACAAATATTTTATATCAGTAATTAAAAGTGGATTTTGTTTACATCCTTTAGACAAGGTCTTTCAGATAGTGGTGCTATTCTAGAGTGACTGCCGTTGTCACTGTGTTTTTTGCTGTGTCCATTTCATAATAACAATAACGTGTTACTACTGTCTTAGTTTCCATATATATAATAACTACTTTTTGTCTGAATTTTGAGAGTATTATAAACTCCAGACGAACCCAACACTTCAGGGCCATGATGTTTTTGAGAAAACATTTTTCAAGGTTTAGTAATAGGGCCAGAATGATAGTGTTTCTTATAAATTCTAACTTTTGTCAGCTTATGTCATAGATTCAGTAGAAAACACATACTGATGTTCAAGATACCCACAATATTCACGAGACCAGATCACATTAATATAGATAAAAA